CACTTCCTTGTCCACTTTGGCACAAATGATGTAATGTGCCCAAGCATTGCATCCAGGGAAGGCTACATCAGCAGTGCATTCCTAGGAAATCTCATCTGTAATCTCATGGTATCTCATAGAAAGGCATTTCCCTCCCCTGAGATGATATGCATGGTCACGTGTCCTAGTCACATGTGCCAGAGTTCCAGGAAGTAAAGGGAGATCTAGTAACCTGCCCTTAGTTAAAATGGCCACTGTCAGAAGAGTGTGGAAGAAAAGCAAAGTAAAAGGTATGTAAAGAATAAAACGTCTCCAATTATCTAGAAGTATCTGTTTATAGATTGTCATTACTAAACATTTCTAAAGGTGCCTTTGTTGTTATTTTGAAGATATGGGTAAAGTTCCTCTTTAAGGTCTAACAACAGTACAAGTACTGTTACATAGGATTTAAAGAGGAATGGCATGGATCACTTTAACAAGGTCAAGGGCAGTAAGTATAAATTTTTACCTGCAGTTCCAACCGTTGGTAAAGCAGACATGAGATTTTGCATCTTGTCAAATATGTCCTCCCAGCATAATCCAGTAGCACTTTAATGTTAGAGGTAACCTCTAGCCAAAGTTACACAATATTGAGTGCACATTTAATAGATCGAGGCAAATCAATCAAGTTCATAGGGACAACAGTGCACAATTTTGCCTTTCTCTTGCTATTCTCCGAGAACTATACAGCGATAGAGTTGGAATTTCTTTCTCTTTCCATAATAGTTTTGCCATTGTAACGTGAACCTATTGGGTTAGTTTTCCTTAATCCTTTTGATTGTTTTTGTGATCAAATGTTAGTTGGATTTGCACACCCTGCATGTCATCAATCCAATCTGAGTAATGTGAGCAAAATTAAAGCATAAGTCGTGTTTCAAGGTACAAAATAAAAATAAAATCTTAAGTGCATACAGAGAATATTGTCTACCTGATCAACCAAACCATTTGCTGAATGTGCCTGTAATGCCCACTAAAGGCTAGATCACGGTCTTGGAACTTTGATTCTGATTGGTGATGTAGGAAACAGTCCAGGCAGTTACACACTACTACTGCTCTCTTAGAGATACCTGGAGGTAGGTCAGCTTTTGCTATGCGGATTATTCAAATGAAGCCAGCATGTATTAGGCATTTACAAAGCCAGGTCCTGCTAATAATATCTTAAAACGCAGTAAATGCCTGGGGGAGCTTGCTAAATGCCTACTGAATAGAATGTGAAGATACAAAAAGGCCTGTGTACACTCAGCTTTAGGATAGCTATGATGCAGTAAACAAGGCAGGGTTAGATGCAAGAAGTCATTTCACTTTGTATTATTTTTCACAGCTCAGTCACCTAACTCCTACAGTATATGATGTTTTTTTTCCCATGCTTCTGCATGCAGTAGCAGCAGAGATCCAGACACCGACAGGACACCCCCCTCCATTTCCAGCCACGCTCTGCAAAGGAGACATGGCTATTGATTACCAGCTTATCTCACTGTTCCTTCACTTTCCAGACACAAGCTAGGAATACAGATGCGGTATGCTCACATAGGAATTAGCACTGGCTCTAGAACTGATAGCAAAGTGCAGGTTTAAATATAGCAAGTTCTAAATCAAGAGGCCGTTTCCTTTCCAGAGTGTGGATGGGAATGGGGGGGCATGCTGTCACTGTAGCGATTTCAACTTCTACTGCACACAAACACATGAGATGGAACGCAACATACACTGCAGTAGTCAGGTGACTAAGTTGTAAGAAAAAGTGAGACTTCTTCTTTAAAAGGAGAACTATGAAGTGAGTGATTTACATCCTCATAGATAAAGCAGACGTGGGGCATTGAAACTCTATAAATTGGGAAAAGGAGCAAAACACAAACCGGCGCTCACTCACTTCCCGATCATCTTCCTGCAGAGAGCAGTGACAGTCAATCATCACTCCCCACAGGGATCCCCCCCCATTCTGACTGGAGCAATGGACTGGGAAGGGGGCGGGCACAGCTGGCTCTGCCTCTAGATAGGCAGAACCCACTGTCAATCAGCCAGCTGGGTGAATATAGCAAGCTATAGCCCGCTATATACTGAGCTTTGGGTCACGGGAGGATGTTGGTATATGGTTGGTCCTCCCGTGACCCTAAAGAGAACTATGGGATAAAAAGGTTACCCCATAGTTCTCTTTTACAGCTCAACTCCAGGCAAAAAAATTTAATTTCATTTTGAATAGAAGAGGGAAGGGACACAGCCTATGCTAGGTAGTTCTAGCCGTCTGTGCCTTTATTATGGCGATTTCCCTCTACTTCCTGCAATTTCTTCAACAGGGACACAGACAAAAATTATATTTTTAGTGGAGTAGGGAAGGGTTACAGTAGATCTTCTTTGTTGTTGACGACTGTGCCTTAATGTCCCAGTCATGCACACAAACCACATGGGATGACAGGGACAGAAAGTGAGGGCAAACCCCCTAATTGGTCACAGCCAGTAACAGAACCAAAAAAAAAATCTAACTCTTCCCCATGCTATACAAAACAAAAGGTGTGGGTGTAAATGCCAGTGAGTTTTTTTTTTTAAATTGCAGTTTTCTCTATTTTTACTCTTTGGGGGATCACTGCATATCTTCGGTAGCCGATACAGATTTTCTAGGCTCCTCAGAGAGAATTTCCCTTTCTTCCTGTGTTAATTGCTATGTTTTCAGACCTATACTTTCACTTCCTATCCCAGTCATGACTGGAAGTGAGGGGGAATCTTTCCAAAATGCAGACAAACAAAAACCTGGCAAAAGTTCTAAACTTCCCCATTCATTTTTGTGTCCCTACTGGAGATATTTAGTCTTGTGTCACAACAGAATGTAAAGGGAATTTGTCAAACTGGATGACAGATAGTAAAGAGATTGGATAGTGGATCTAAACCAGGGATCTCAAACCTCCGGCCCACCAGCTGTGGTGAAACTACAAATCCCATGATGCATCTCTCTTTGGGAGTCATGTCTGTGAGAATCTTGCAATGCCTCATGGGATTTGTAGTTCCACCACAGCTGGAGGTTTGAGACCCCTGATCTAAACCTTCCCCATTCTATACGAAACCAAAAAACTCTTTTGCTGGAGTCTCACTTAAAATGACCCATGTGTCCATGTATGATAACATTTCTAACATGCGGGGAAGATGGAGGCTAGTGAGACAAACACAGACACCACCAAGTTGAAATTCACTTAAGCACCCTTCCCAGCCACACTCCTGACAAAGATTAAAGAACAGCTCTTTCCAAAACTCTTCTCTATTTTGAGTTGAGCGGGACAGGCATTATTCCATTGTATAGGCCAGAGACGGGAACGTTTTGATGGGAGCATCCCATTCTAGATTTCTTTTATATTCCAGAAGGCAACAGGTGGTCAGAAGCAGAGTCAGGAAACTTGGAACAGAAACCTCATCCTTGGAGTCCTAGCCAAAGCTTCACTTATATTTTGTAATCTAGATGGACTAATCCTCTCAGTTCTGATAAACTCAGGTGTACGTGTGAGGTCATTAAAGCTCCAGATAAACCGCTAAATAGAAGATAAAATACATACATTGTACCTGCCAAAGTATGTCATGTAGAACTAAAGCCAAACCTTTTTCTTTTTAGTTTTGGACAAGAATAAGGGAGGATTATAACCCGTCAGCTTTTCTTTTGACAATCCGTGTGGCATTGGGGAGACTATTCTTTGCTTCTTGTCTTATCGTCACAACAAGAAGTGAGAGGACATCCCTCCAGAGAGAGGAAAGTCACTGGTGGTTGGCAAAGTAAGTAAAACTAGTTTCCTTATTGGAAGATTTCACATTTATTCCTTGTTTGATGACAACCTAAAATTTGGGATTTTTTTTTTCATTTTCACTGAAAACAGTCACCAGGACAAGTAGAGGGGATGACTCTCCCTACTAGGGACATGGACAGCAAAAAACCTGACCGTGCTCTAATCCCCCTTTACTCTACCCCAAAGTTTTTTGATAAATTGTAAGCTTTTAGGGGCAGGGCCCTCCTTACCATCTTGTCTTGAATTGTATTGGGATTGTAATGTCTTCCTTATATTGCAAAGTGCTGCACAGACTGTTGGTGCTATATAAATCCTGTATAATAAACTTTTGGCTTCAAATTGCACCTAACATTTTTGCCCATCCAGTCATGAGATGTGAGGAGCACAGCCATTGTGGTGACCTGATTCTTCTCAGTGACATATAGGCCCCATTCACACCTGACCGTTTTGTAGCGCGTCCTACGCTCGATGAACGCTCTACAAAACGGTCAAAAAAATAAATAGCATTGTAGTCAATGGTATCGTTCCCACCTGTCCGTATTTCCGCCCGTCCCGAACGCACTACAAAACGGCCCACGAATGAAAAGGTCCCGGAGCGTTTTTTGCTGCGTATTGGTCCGTTTTGTAGGGCGTTTTCCATTTGTATACTGCCAAGTAGCCTTTGGAATCGTGCGACGGTCGCGCGACTTTTTACCGCGAATCGCGGTAAAAAAACCGCGCGACAGACGCGCATATTACAATACGCATAGGTGTGAATGGGGCCTTAGGCAATGCAGCCCGGTCTCCTCCCCTTCCCTAGCCTGTGGCTGGACAGTGAAGCTATAGCAGAGACTGAACTTTGCCCTCTCTTCTGCTTTATGTCTCTGCTCAGCTAATAATCTGGCTCTCTGGCTAAAGCACTTTCTAAGCCACTAACCCACAGTGATTATAATCTGACTTCACTTCCTTAATTTCCATTCTTGGCCAGTGACACAATATTGTAGCCAGAGACAACCAGCCAGATCACATTTTCTGAGGAAATTCAGAAAAGGTCTAAAAAAATGTGTTTTCCAAGTTCAGCAAATGAAAACAAATCCTTATTAAAAAGAAATATCACATGGGAATGTATTTCGCTAGTGTGACCATCTTAGGATGATACACTTCATTCTACCAGTACAATAAATATATACATACAACCACGAAATCATTAACCATACGGTGACCCCCAAAAGAGGTTCCCCAAGGAATCCTAGTATTCACAAATACAAATCTTTTTTTTTTTTTTTTTTGCACAGTAAAAATAAGAATTTTGCAGGATGTGAAATGACCTACAAGGTCCTTTTTGAGGAGCATCGGCAGTGCGAGCGATAGATTTGGGAGGGTCACGAAGTTGTGTCACGTCTATACAGAATGCATGTTAAGCAGCATCACTGAGGGCTCAGCAAGATTTGCAGAATTTTCCCGCTCATCCAATGTAAATGCGGTGGAAGTCGTTGGCACCAAAGGCTGCATTGCATTTGGGACACTTGCGTTGCCGGGTGTCGTAGCGGGTCTTGACGCATTCGAAGCAGAAGACGTGGAAACACTTGGTCAAGACAGCATCCATCTTGCGAGAGTTGCAGCACGGGCAGGTGAGACGAGACTGAGGAAAAGAACAGAGTTTTCAATAGTGGAAACAGGAAGACATACAAAGTCACCAATAACCAGGTAAACATGTCATGTGTTCAATGCCTAGGGCCTGGACTTCTTTTAAGAAAGTAGATATGAGTATTTATGAATCTAAAACCCAACTCTGGGCTACTGTGTTTTTAATGTTCCCTTGGGAGAAGACAGTGAGGGCATCATGGCTCCTGACCTCTGAGCACCTTGCCCTGCACTCACAGTGTATTGCTGCAGAGAGCAGCACTGATTTCATCACACCGGGACTGCACAATGTCAGGAGAACACCAAAAAAGAACGACGCAGGGCTTAAGGGAGCAGGATAGTTAGGATGGGGTCAGCTGTACTAAGGTGCAAGTCAGCTTTAACATCAGGAAGAGACTGAGGTCTCCACAAGTCTCCCCATAAGATGCCTTATGCACATAGACACATGAGATCATACAACATATATTACTGCTCCTGGGATACACAGCTGCAGCAATCAGCCCCACATAGTAATGAATAAGTGTAATTGGCGGTACTGCGGTTTATGCTTTTTGCATAATCTAGCACATGCATAAAAGCCCCTGAACACAATAAGGCCCCATTCACACACAAATCGGGCTGCATGTACAGCTCCGTGTGGGGCCGTGTCAAGCAGCTCCCAGGAAGGACAGGTGCTCTGTGTGATTAGTACGCAGCCCCCGTCCTTCTCTATAGGGGGTACACGGCCGTATGACCCCCCCTACGCTCACCTCAATTGCAAGTCCGTAGGGGTGCGGGTTTTCTGGCCGGGGCGCATACAGGATCCATTCCGGCGGTGTATGAATACGCTCACCTGCACCCCTACGGACCTGCAATTGAGGTGAGCATAGGGGGGGTGTATGGCCGCGTAGCCCCATAGAGAAGGACGGGGGCTGTGTACTAATCACGCGCAGCACATGTCCTCCCCGACAGCTGCTTGACGCGGCCCCGTATGCAGCACGGAGCTGTACGTGCAGGCCGATTCGTGTGTGAATGGGGCCTAAAGCTGCATCCAGGTTCGTACATCCATATGACTATGGCATACAGACACCTATACCCATTCACTAATATGGCCGGCTGTACACAGTAGCTGTGTATCCCGGGAACGGAAATATGCCCACAATTTACATTCTACGTGCTCATGTGCCTTATAGGTGTTGGACACTTTAAAGAAAAAAAAAACAAAACACAGGTACAAATAATGTAAGACATTGAATAATAAAACAGGAGAGCAGCACAGTAGGCACAGCTATAAACATATTCTTTCTATTCTTTACTAAACAGCAGGGCTGGAGGGAGATAAAGAACAGATTTTGTGTGTCTGTTGTGTAAGAATTCCTTCTCCGCTCCTGCTTTATGTTATTGATGCATGGGAAGCACAACCACCATGGGCATGCTGACCCATAGTTTCTCCCCATCCAAGTCCTCTATTTGTTGCAAAAAAAAGTTCTGCATTTGCTCTGCAAGGACTCTTGAAACAGCAAGGTAAAATATAGCAGGCAAGTGAAAAAGGTTAAAATAATAAAAGCAACCATTCAAGACCGGTAACCTTTCACTCTGCTGCAATTTTATATATTCAAATGCTACATGCACCTTACAAAAAAGGGGGTGAGGCAGGAACGTCACATCACAGGACCTGTCTAACAAGTCCATTGGCAGGACTTGGCTGAACTTCTCAACCTGGTGTGGCTAGATAGGTAAATATTGCTTGTGTTTTTGACATTTCTCATATATTAAGTGAACCTGTACTTTGTGCTCTAGTGCAGGCTTTAGTAAGCCTGGATGGCAAGATGTTGTGAGAATGTTTAGCATTAAAAAACTACCTTGAATTCTTTGATCTCCTCCATCAAGATTTTATCACACGTGGGCACCATATCCGGTTTCTTGGTGGATTCCAGCTTTTTCCGTAGGCGGGATATGTCCTCCTAAAAGCACAATTAAAAAAAAGTGGATTGTAAGGCATTAATGTGTAAAGTAACCAAGGAAAATGTATCTCACACATACATATTATTAATACATATACACTATAGTGCCAAAAGTATTGGGACGCCTGCCTTTACACACACAAACTTTAATGGCACCCCAGTCTTAGTCCGTAGGGTTCAATATTGAGTTGGCCCTCCCTTTGCCGCTATAACAGCTTCAACTCTTCTGGGAAGGCGTCCACAAGGTATAGGAGTGTCTATGGGAATGTTTGACCATTCTTCCAGAAGCGCTATTGTGAGGTCAGGTACTGATGTTGTATGAGAAGGCATGGCTCGCAGTCTTCACTCTAATTCATCCCAAAGGTGTCTATCAGGTTGAAGTCAGGGCTCTGTGCAGGCCAATCAAGTTCCTCCACCCTAAACTTGCTCATCCATGCCTTTATGGATCTTCCTTTGTGCACTGGTGCGCAGTTGGGAGCATGAAATTGTCCAAAATGTCTTGGTATGCTGATGCCTTAAGAGTTCCCTTTACTGGAACTAAGGAGCCAAGCCCAACCCCTGAAAAAAAACCCCACACCATAATCCCCCCTCCACCAAACTTTACACTTGGCACAATGCAGTCAGACAAGTACCGTTCTCCTGGCAACCGCCAAACCCAGACAAATCCATCGGATTGCCAGACAGAGAAGCGTGATTTGTCACTCCAGAGAACACGTCTCCAGTTCTCTAGAGTCCGGTGGCGGCGTGCTTTACACCATTGCATCCGACACTTTGCATTGCACTTGGTGATGTAAGGCTTGGATGCAGCTGTTCGGCCATGGAAACCCATTCCATGAAGCTCTCTACGCACTGTTGTTGTGCCAATCTGAAGGCCACACGAAGTTTGAAGGTCTGTAGCTATTGACTCTGCAGGCAGTTGGCAACTTCTGCGCACTTCAGCATGCGCTGACCCTGCTCTGTCATTTTATGTGACCTACCACTTTGTGGCCTAGTTGCTGTTGTTCCCAGTTGCTTCCACTTTGTTATAATACCACTAAGGCCTGGATCACACCTGGGCATTTTACAGCGCGTAAGAACGTGCTGCAAAACGCCCAAAGAAGTACAGGAGCTTTTTTTGGGGTGTATTTGCCGCGTGTATCCATTGGTATACAGCCAGGTAGCCCTCAGAAACGCATTTTTTTTAGCGTGAATCGCGGTAAAACCGTGCGGCACAAAACGCGCATATTCGATACGCCTGGGTGTGAACCCAGCCTAACAGTTGACCGCAGAATGTTTAGTAGCAAGGACATTTCACGGATGGACTTATTGCACAGGTGGCAACCTATCACGGTACCAATCTGAAGGCCACACGAAGTTTGGAGGTCTGTAGCTATTGACTCTGCAGACAGTTGGCGACATCTGCGCACGGTGCGCTTCAGCATGCGCTGACTCCGCTCTGTCATTTTACGTGGCCTACCACTTTGTGGCCGAGTTGCTGTTGTTCCCAGTTGCTTCCACTTCGTTATAATACCACTAACAGGTGACCATGGAATATTTAGTAGCAAGGAAATGTCACGGACCTATGGCAATTTTATGGACCTATTGCACAAGTGGAAACCTATCACTGTACCACGCTTGTAGTCACTGAGCTCCTGAGAGAGACCCATTCTTTCACAAATGTTTGTAGAAGCGTCTGCATGCCTAGATGCTTCATTTTATACCCCTGTGGCCATGGAGGTGATTGGAACACCTGAATCCAATTATTTGGAGGGATGTCCCAATACTTTTGACAATATAGTATATGTATATACTATATGTACGTATATTACATTGTGTTTGGCTTTAGATAAACTTTAAAAGAGATTACCAGTTAGTGAAATCTTAAGCTTCTCATCTTCGGGGACAGCATCACTTTATACACTAGATAATAACACGATAGGGAAAACAGTTTGTCCTAAAGCTCCCGTTTGAGAGAATGTGTAAAAACTAGAAGCGCTTATGGCCTGTGCTCATCTAGGTCAAATCCAGAACAGAGGCTGCAGGGAAATACAGCAAGTAAATGAATACTATGTAACTTTACATGATCATAATTCGAGATAAGCAAATCAACACACGAGGACCACAGGGTACAAGATATCATTTTACCTCAATCTGCTTGCTTTCTCTTTAGCCAACTGTCCCCAAACCCAGGCGCTATGTTATGCAAATAGCAATCACAATGTCTTCTTAGTGGCCTCTTAGACCACCAATAGTATTTAGTCACCTGAAAATATCTACTTTATGGACCTGAGCCACCTAACAAGGTAAGGCGAGCTCATACATTCTTAACGTGGACCTGTGAGTAAACATTACCTTGCTAGGTGGTTGCAAGTGTGGATTGGTGAGGCTTAACCACACAAAAATACGAGGTTGGCTAAAACAGAGAATTTGCCACTATCCACCTTCAACGGCTGACAGCATTACCTGTGCTCTCTTGTAGTTAAAAGTGTCCTTTTCCCGGCCAGAGCTGTTCTCTATGATTTCCTTCCGAAGATCCTGCAGCTTCTTCTGCGATACCTCCATCTGGCTCCTAAGTTCTTCTGCCTGCTGAGAGGCCTCCATCGCCTGGAGAGAATATAAAGATCAATAGTGGCAGATGGACAAATCTTATCAACAAATAATGTTAGCCGTTTTCTCAGACTTGTTCCCTTAAGACTCCAATTAAGCAGACTGGTAAAATCAACTCCATTGATGGGTTATTTATATTCCAAAGGAGAAAAGCACGTTCACTTCAAATTTAAAGAAAACAGAATTTTTGCTTGCACATGATTGGATGATGGAAGTCAGCAGAGCTTCACCTCATTTCACTAAACTAACGGAAAATTCAATTTACTAGAAGAAAAGCCTGGAGAAGAGAAATTGAACAACTAGAATTGGAGCTTTATGGGAATCCTGAAAGCTCATGGTCATAAGGAGAGATGTAGTTGTAGTTCTCAGGGAAGGTTGTACGGCATGGAATACAAGGCAGGGGGTAACAGCCAAGTGAAAAAGCGCTCACTCTGAAAGCAGGAAGTGGCTGAAGTTGTGTGTAAATACTGACTCTAGCTTGGCCAAAGCTATTAGTGAAGTTGCCCATCACACAAAAGACCAACAAGGAGACACCGGGAAATGAGAAGGGTGGGCTTAAAACATGACTTTCTAAAGGAAATGGCAAGATTTGCATATTAATGTATCTGCTTATATTTTTGGATCGCAATCATTTTCACATGCAATTGATATGCAGGTAACCTCTGTTTAGGTATTTCCTCATATGCTCAGTTTGAATGTTGGAACACATTTACTTTAAAGCAGTGGTTATCAACCTGTGTAACCTTAGGACCCACATTTGTCCTTGGTCATTATGTTGCGACCCAAGTCATACCAAACTGGACCACATGGCATTGTGATACTATGCATTTTGGTGTGGGCGATGAAAATGTGGGTGGGATGTGCGTTTGGGGTGCCATTCAAATGATTGCGTGGTACACTGCGTTAATCGCACAGGATTGTGTGATTAACACACTGTACTAGTGTGAACAGGCCCTCAAAAACACTGACACATACACAACCAAACAATCTCGCACACACTACAAAAAAATGTCAATTTTTTTTTTTTAAGCTCCACCCAGTCCTCCTACCTTATGACAACTGGTGTCCATCCTCAGTCTGGGGTCTAGTGTGGGCTGCTGTGCTGTGATGGAGCTCTATCCATACGAGACAGTGCTGCTCTAGGGGGAGGCTGAGGAGCCTTTCACCTAGCACAGTGGAAGGAACGCGGCGATCCACTGCACACTGGGTCGCAACCCACTTTTGGGTCGCAACCCACCAGTTGAAAAGCAGGGCTTTAAAGTGTATGTAAACCACAATAATGACCTCTTATTTTTTTCCCTTTTTGTCTAAGAGTTTGGTTGTCTCTGTTCCACAAGCGCTTGTAAGGCTTGGATGCAGCTGCTCGGCCATGGAAACCCATTCCATGAAGCTCTCTACGCACTGTTGTTGTGCCAATCTGAAGGCCACACGAAGTTTGAAGGTCTGTAGCTATTGACTCTGCAGGCAGTTGGCAACTTCTGCGCACTTCAGCATGCGCTGACCCTGCTCTGTCATTTTATGTGACCTACCACTTTGTGGCCTAGTTGCTGTTGTTCCCAGTTGCTTCCACTTTGTTATAATACCACTAAGGCCTGGATCACACCTGGGCATTTTACAGCGCGTAAGAACGTGCTGCAAAACGCCCAAAGAAGTACAGGAGCTTTTTTTGGGGTGTATTTGCCGCGTGTATCCATTGGTATACAGCCAGGTAGCCCTCAGAAACGCATTTTTTTTAGCGTGAATCGCGGTAAAACCGTGCGGCACAAAACGCGCATATTCGATACGCCTGGGTGTGAACCCAGCCTAACAGTTGACCGCAGAATGTTTAGTAGCAAGGACATTTCACGGATGGACTTATTGCACAGGTGGCAACCTATCACGGTACCAATCTGAAGGCCACACGAAGTTTGGAGGTCTGTAGCTATTGACTCTGCAGACAGTTGGCGACATCTGCGCACGGTGCGCTTCAGCATGCGCTGACTCCGCTCTGTCATTTTACGTGGCCTACCACTTTGTGGCCGAGTTGCTGTTGTTCCCAGTTGCTTCCACTTCGTTATAATACCACTAACAGGTGACCATGGAATATTTAGTAGCAAGGAAATGTCACGGACCTATGGCAATTTTATGGACCTATTGCACAAGTGGAAACCTATCACTGTACCACGCTTGTAGTCACTGAGCTCCTGAGAGAGACCCATTCTTTCACAAATGTTTGTAGAAGCGTCTGCATGCCTAGATGCTTCATTTTATACCCCTGTGGCCATGGAGGTGATTGGAACACCTGAATCCAATTATTTGGAGGGATGTCCCAATACTTTTGACAATATAGTATATGTATATACTATATGTACGTATATTACATTGTGTTTGGCTTTAGATAAACTTTAAAAGAGATTACCAGTTAGTGAAATCTTAAGCTTCTCATCTTCGGGGACAGCATCACTTTATACACTAGATAATAACACGATAGGGAAAACAGTTTGTCCTAAAGCTCCCGTTTGAGAGAATGTGTAAAAACTAGAAGCGCTTATGGCCTGTGCTCATCTAGGTCAAATCCAGAACAGAGGCTGCAGGGAAATACAGCAAGTAAATGAATACTATGTAACTTTACATGATCATAATTCGAGATAAGCAAATCAACACACGAGGACCACAGGGTACAAGATATCATTTTACCTCAATCTGCTTGCTTTCTCTTTAGCCAACTGTCCCCAAACCCAGGCGCTATGTTATGCAAATAGCAATCACAATGTCTTCTTAGTGGCCTCTTAGACCACCAATAGTATTTAGTCACCTGAAAATATCTACTTTATGGACCTGAGCCACCTAACAAGGTAAGGCGAGCTCATACATTCTTAACGTGGACCTGTGAGTAAACATTACCTTGCTAGGTGGTTGCAAGTGTGGATTGGTGAGGCTTAACCACACAAAAATACGAGGTTGGCTAAAACAGAGAATTTGCCACTATCCACCTTCAACGGCTGACAGCATTACCTGTGCTCTCTTGTAGTTAAAAGTGTCCTTTTCCCGGCCAGAGCTGTTCTCTATGATTTCCTTCCGAAGATCCTGCAGCTTCTTCTGCGATACCTCCATCTGGCTCCTAAGTTCTTCTGCCTGCTGAGAGGCCTCCATCGCCTGGAGAGAATATAAAGATCAATAGTGGCAGATGGACAAATCTTATCAACAAATAATGTTAGCCGTTTTCTCAGACTTGTTCCCTTAAGACTCCAATTAAGCAGACTGGTAAAATCAACTCCATTGATGGGTTATTTATATTCCAAAGGAGAAAAGCACGTTCACTTCAAATTTAAAGAAAACAGAATTTTTGCTTGCACATGATTGGATGATGGAAGTCAGCAGAGCTTCACCTCATTTCACTAAACTAACGGAAAATTCAATTTACTAGAAGAAAAGCCTGGAGAAGAGAAATTGAACAACTAGAATTGGAGCTTTATGGGAATCCTGAAAGCTCATGGTCATAAGGAGAGATGTAGTTGTAGTTCTCAGGGAAGGTTGTACGGCATGGAATACAAGGCAGGGGGTAACAGCCAAGTGAAAAAGCGCTCACTCTGAAAGCAGGAAGTGGCTGAAGTTGTGTGTAAATACTGACTCTAGCTTGGCCAAAGCTATTAGTGAAGTTGCCCATCACACAAAAGACCAACAAGGAGACACCGGGAAATGAGAAGGGTGGGCTTAAAACATGACTTTCTAAAGGAAATGGCAAGATTTGCATATTAATGTATCTGCTTATATTTTTGGATCGCAATCATTTTCACATGCAATTGATATGCAGGTAACCTCTGTTTAGGTATTTCCTCATATGCTCAGTTTGAATGTTGGAACACATTTACTTTAAAGCAGTGGTTATCAACCTGTGTAACCTTAGGACCCACATTTGTCCTTGGTCATTATGTTGCGACCCAAGTCATACCAAACTGGACCACATGGCATTGTGATACTATGCATTTTGGTGTGGGCGATGAAAATGTGGGTGGGATGTGCGTTTGGGGTGCCATTCAAATGATTGCGTGGTACACTGCGTTAATCGCACAGGATTGTGTGATTAACACACTGTACTAGTGTGAACAGGCCCTCAAAAACACTGACACATACACAACCAAACAATCTCGCACACACTACAAAAAAATGTCAATTTTTTTTTTTTAAGCTCCACCCAGTCCTCCTACCTTATGACAACTGGTGTCCATCCTCAGTCTGGGGTCTAGTGTGGGCTGCTGTGCTGTGATGGAGCTCTATCCATACGAGACAGTGCTGCTCTAGGGGGAGGCTGAGGAGCCTTTCACCTAGCACAGTGGAAGGAACGCGGCGATCCACTGCACACTGGGTCGCAACCCACTTTTGGGTCGCAACCCACCAGTTGAAAAGCAGGGCTTTAAAGTGTATGTAAACCACAATAATGACCTCTTATTTTTTTCCCTTTTTGTCTAAGAGTTTGGTTGTCTCTGTTCCACAAGCGCACAAAATTCCTGTTGATCCTGCCAGAAATCAACTTTCTGTACATTGTCTGTGCTGCACTCTCCATCTCAACTTTCATTATTCCCAGCTATCTCTGTGGACTACAGAACACCTTGCCCCTATGTTATGGAAATGAGGAGAGTCAGATATGTTCTGTAGTCCAAATACACTTCCTGTACTAAGATGATAACCCTGTTCCTCCATAGATACAGTACAGGATGTGTGTTACCAATAGGATCATGATGTGAAAATACAGGGAAAAAGCCTGAAAAATAGAAAACACATTCCCCACTGAGTTCCCCACTGCTTAGAGCCGGCGTGGGTGCTGCAGCTGTCACATGCAGGCTCTATACCGAGAACTCAGTCTCTTCTCCCTGCAGGGAGAGGTGACTGTCAGCTACTTCCCTCCACAGGTATTACTCCTTCGCCTACGTTCCTCCAGCACTCACTGGAGGGCCAGACAGGGGAGGGGTGGGCACAGCTGGCTTTGGCTCTAGAGAGGCAGAGCCAGCTGTCAAAAAAATCAGGCAACCAGGTGGATACGGACTATACTGTCTGCTGATATTAGCCATTAGCCCACTATCTGCTGACTTTAGGTCATTAGTAAATTACAAAAGAGAGGTAAATCCAAAAAAATACAAGTGTCTTGAAAAATGCCTAGTTCAATTATCAAGAAGGTGCAGAGAATGGAGTATTACCTTGCGTTTGCTGAGATCCAGTGCCTGGGTGCGTAGCGTCAGCTCCTTTTCTCCTGTGGTGATGCTGCTTTGCAGTAGGTGCTCCTTCTCTTCCAGCTTTCGCAAGACTTTAAGCTGGGCATCAACCTGTTATCACAAGTCACAGTGAGACAATAGTGGGAGACAGTGGGTCCAATTTTTTTTTAAAGAGAGCTGACAGGAGTACTGATGGCACCACAGAAGTCAGCTTCAACCATTTGTCCTCTACAGTAATATGGTGAGTTTGTCACTTTGCCCATTTAGGGAAAAGTGACAGGTTCTTTTAAAAGAATGACCTCTACCCCCAACCTATGATTGTCAAATTCCCTGCTAGTGCACCATCAGAGCCCTCACTAAATTCCCATTGCTTCCGGGTATGGAATATATGACCTCCTACCAGGATGCAGGCCTTGAGTCTAAGTTACCAATTCTCAGGGTTAAACACCACCACGTTGGGGAGGGAGACATTAACACTGTGGAAACGCCAACACCATCCAACATGTGCCTACACAGGGTTTGGACTCCTGACTCTGATGGTGGAATAGTGTGGCAGAGGAAAACAGGGAAATATCTGTGTGCACGGATTATAAAATAGGAATATAAAATATAAAACTGAAACTCCAGCCTTCCCTTCAGTCTTGCACAGTTGTACAGGCTTCTCCACTGTACTAAAATTGCTTCCTCTGATTTCACTGCATGCTAACCTGCACTTGGCTGTCATGCGGATTCAATATTTTCAATACATTTTGAGATAATGTTCATGCTTGCTCATATGCTCAATGACAAAGAAACAACCATTAAATGAGCATTTAGAGATCAGCAATGTCAGTTTTAACCATGTAGAAGTACAGTAGGGTAGAGAAACCAGAATTAGGGAGCCAATTAACACCACAACGCTTCCAAAACCTTTGTCATTAGCAGAGCAAAAGTAAAGTGTCTAGCTTTCCAGTGTGTTCATTACGACAGTATAGATGACATTTACATCCCACCTGTGTGCGCAGTGTGAGCTGTTGGTCCGCCAGTTCCTCCTTCTCCTCTTTTAGAAGTTTGTGGATCTGGTTGGATTTGATTCTCTCAGACATTAGTTTGAAGTTGGCATCATCTTTCTCCCTCAGCTGCTGCATCAGACGGATGTTCTGCTCCTGCATATCTTCGAATGCCTGGCCAGTGACGTCCATCTCCGACAGCAGAGCCTCTTCCTCCTAGGTGGGGCAAGCAGAAGTCAAATATGGTTACCAACATGTGTTAGGAACTGAGATGTTTTGCCTTTAAAGTGATCCTGTCACAGAAAACATGGGTCTAACAGCCAGCACCACCAGGTGTGTCCACACTTTAAGACAGGGGTAGCAAACCTCCGGCCCTCCAGCTTTGGTGAAACTACAAATCCCATGATGCATCTCTTCGGGAGTCATGTCTGTGGCTGTGAGAATCTTGCAATGCCTCATGGAATTTGTAGTTCCACCACAGCTGGAGGGCCGGAGGTTTGCTATCCCTGCTTTAAGAGGACCAATCCCAGCCAGACTCAAAATGGAGTTGTACAAACAACTGTTTTAGAATTTTTTTAATAAATGAAAAGCACCTATAAAAGTAGGCATTTTGTGTCCGTTTGAAGAATCTACTCTCTGCTGCTGAACAAAGCTGCTGAAAGGGTTCCTTGGCATGCTCTCCGATTCCTTTTGCTGGTCCCTACATCAGTATGGTGTCCTGTAGTGGCATAGGGGATGGTAAAAGGAACCAAATAGCATGGCAGGGGACCCTGGCATCCGACACACCTGAAGTGTGTCAATTGTAAAGATCTTTCAGGCGGCTTTGATCAGCAACAGAGCAAGAATGAAGATCCTTCAGATGGTCTTCTCAGCAACAGAGCAAAGATTCTACAAAGAGGCACTGAAATAGGAATAGTACAAAGTGTCTTCTTTAACAAGTGCTTCGTATTTTAGAAATGCTTGCATGGGGATGTTATAAAACATTTTTGCTGCAAATAAGCTGTTAAGTGAACTGTTGTTTTTGCCAGTGCAGTGCAAAGTAGCATCTCCCCGTCTGTTCCCTACTGTGAGTGAGAAGAAGCCCAATGTAAGTTTCAAGTCAGTCCTAGTTGGCGATTAAAACAGAGGACTCTCTCTACACCCTCCATGTACACTGTCGCCTCAGCAAACAATTTCAAAGCATCACAAAGGAGGAGGAATTGACATGCTCTCCTATACACAATATTTCTCTTCACTCCTAGTGGCGGATGGAGAGGAGGGCAGGTGTAGCTATAGAAGGGGTCAGTATTAAATTTAACTTTTTACTAAAGCACAGGTGCTAAAATATTTCTTGTCACCTGTTTAGCTACAGACAATCTTTTCTGTAGGGCTTCAGTTTGCTCTTCTGCTGCTCTCATCCTCCGCAGGGCATCCTCATCTGCCATTTTTTTGCTGTCTCTACGTTCTCTCTCCTCTAGCTCTCGAAGCCTCTGTCGCAGTTCTTCCAGCTGATAAAAGTGAAGCACAGTGCAATGGTTAATTAATCAGCAAGCTTAAAAAGCCAACACTCTGTTAACAGAGAGGACCATACCTCTGCTTTGCTTTTTCTCTCAGCTGCCATAAGCTGAACCTTGTCTCTCTGTTCCTTGGGGGCAGAACGATACATGTCCAGGAGCAGCTTCATGTCTCTTAAGGACTCCTGCACTCTCCTAGGACAAAACAAAGGATATAGGATGGGATATAGGATGTGAGGAACACAGACTGAAGAAAAAGGCAACAAGTTCAAAGAAACAATAAAACAAATGAAGCATCAGTAAACCCAAAACCTGTCATGTTTATTTTGTCTCAATACCAGCAGAGGGCAAACCCACTGCTCATCTGGTTTAGACAGGAATGAGTGAATAACACATCTCAGGCCATTAACCCTAACCAGTGTAAGAAACACTAAAATGACTTACTTGAGCTCGGCCTTCATCTGTTTTACATTCTCTGCCTCCTTGCGCTTTGTATCTGGCTCATGTTTCGGTTTCTCCTTCGAGCTGTCACCTCTGTCCTTCTCACGCCCCCGATCCCTCTCTCGCTCTTTCTCCCTCTCTCGCCTTTCTCTCTGCTGCTGTGGTGGCGGTAGCTGCACCTCCTCTTCTTCCTTTTTTGGGATGACCTCCGGTTGTGGTGGGGCTGGTGTTGGAAGTGCAGTTTCCTCGGGCTCTGTCTTTATTTCCAGGGTTTCCTCTCGGGTCTCCTCCACGCTGGACTGTGAGGGCAGCAGGAAGATACCACAACTATTGCGAGCACGAATCTAAAAGACAAAAAGGATTTATTGTGATATTGCTCCTCCTTTGACACACCTCATGTGGTTACTTCATTGACTTACCTTATTGATTTCGCTTTGGATTTCTCGCAGTCGCCTCTTGTACCTCTGAACCTCGCCCTTTAGCTGGTGATTGTGGTTCTGCAGGCTGCTGATCAGATGTCTCATTTCACGATTAATAGGGCCTAAACAGATATAAGTTAGTTACTGAAAGGAAACAATAATTTTCCTCCCTCTGCCCTCCCCGTCCTACAACTCCATTCAGCACCCCCACTCAGCTCCTAATGCTCATCCCCCTTCTCTGACTGTTCTATTCAGACAGGTTCACATTTCCTTATCATAGAAGAAAATGCATCTTACAATACATTCCCTTTATGGGTCTTCTATTATAGAAATTTGAGCTTTGACTGTATGATGCTAGGGCCACAACATTTGAAGGTTTATAAAACTGAGAACCACTTCTTTAAATAAAAAAAAACAAACAAACATGGTAGCAGGTCTAAAAAGCAGGCATCTAATCTTTCACATATTGCCGACATACTACAGCCGATTTCTAGCTGCTCGTCCGACGTCTCCTTGTAGTGCCGTAGCCAATTATAGTGATGTCCAGTAGGAATGTGGTGGGCAGGAATGATCAGGCAAGCTCTGACTCTACCCAGGATGTCAGAGGTTTGCCCATTTGGCTGTAGCATATGTGAATGGAATTTACTGTAGGCACACAGTTGGTTTTTTTAAAGTGACAAGATTTTACTTTCTAGGATACCTGAAATTCCTCATAACTGCCTTTTTTGTCGTTGTTACTCAGAAACCAGTGCAGGGACTCCGATAGCCTGATCTAAAAGCTGGCTTGTATTCAGGGATGGATTGCAACTTAAAATACACCTAAAGACTTCTGTGTAACCATGGAAATAGGGCCAAAATCTAATACATCTGTGCCTCACAGGCTCTCACCCCTCCCAGACACTGCTGCTCATAGTGGGTGGGTTTCAGCAGCAGAGGCAATACTGTCAATCCGAAAAGCAATGGGCTGGGCTAGGTGTGACCAGCTGATTGAAAAGCTACAGGTTTGTCACTCTCAGGTGACAAGGCTGATAGCCATGCCCCTGCAACATCTTTTAAGCCCACTCCAGCGCAAGCAGGTGCAGCCTATATGAAGGTTGTCGCCCTCATCACAGGAAGCTACATGAAATGAATGGCATGATCAACAGGTATCTGTGAGGCTTTCCAGGGTTACAAAGGGTATACCAAGGGATTTACAATTAAGTGTTGTAGTATTGTGTTTTAAATGGGAAGCCACAAACCCACTTGAAATGAGGAAGGATTGCAAAGTTTTTAGAGAACACACATAAGGGTGAAAATGATTTCTTACATTAAAACGCCAACATTTGTTTACTCTAATTAAAAAAATAAATGTTATTATAATAATTTTAAAAAAAATGAATGTCAACATACCCGCCTGTTCATTGGCGGCCAGCGTCTGCTCAAACTCAATTCTCAGCATCTCATATTCCTTTCTCACTTGCGCAAGTGTGTCCTCCAGCTGGATGACCTCGGTGCGCACCTTTTTTTGAAGAGCCACCTCATCTCGCTAAGACAATAGAGGAAGGAGAGGGCAATAGGTCAGTAGTGAGAGGAAACAAACATGGAAAAATGCTTAGATGGCAAATCCACCCTAAACTGATATTTAAAAATGCGTACGTGCCCATTTGAAAACACAGCTCCTTTAATATATCCAGTGAAATGATGCAGGCTTACAAATATTTTTCCTTTTTTGATAGATGCCAATAAAAGTCCAGGCAGTTTGTACTTCACCTAACTTCTGTGGTTAAATTCAACTAAAATGGTGGCCACTTACATCGTCACTAACTTACCATCCAAGCTCCTGTGGAAGAATGAGTGAAAGGAAGTACTACCCTGTGCTCTACAAACCCCAGCATTCAATGCACCCAACGAAAATCACCACCACCCACTCCTCCCGTTTAAAATGCCCACATGTTACTTGACTTGGTGAACTTGAGCAAAACCTTGCTTACCGAGTTAATTTGAGTGTGTAATGCCAGCAATGATATGTCGATCTGTTCAGCATTGAGGAAGTAGAATGGTGAGTGTGTGAATGATGTGAAATTTCCTTAGCATGTCCTACAATAGGCTTACAGGTTACTGACGGAAGTTAAAAATCACATTTTAAAGCCTATCCCCATGGGGAAAAAAAACCCTTGCAGTGCGGCTGCTCCCCAGACTGCAAGGGTTGAATGCTCCTTTAGGTCTAAGGTACCCGTTTCTCTTAGGTGAGCGGGGGAGCGAGAATCAGCTCCCTTATATGCCAGATGGTGGACTGTCCTTTGGTGTCCTCACGTATAATGCATTGTACTTGATATCAGCGGGACTCCGACCACCAGAACGTGTGGGTAGAGGCAGTGCTACCAGAAAGTGCGGGTAGAGGCAGTGAGGGGTTAGCCATGTAGCCTGAAGGAAGCCTTCTGGAGTGGGATTAAGGTAGGTCTTTTTCCCAGGTACCCTAGATCTAAATGAGCCCTACTGCAAGGCAAGCAAGCCCTCCCCCAAAAGATAAGCTTTAAGTATCAAACCGTATAGACATCCCTTGGACATGCTTAATTTTAAAAGCTTGCTCCCAACTGGCTCAGCTAAAGGAAACTGGGATAGAAGGGAAATCTTTAAATGTGGACAATTACTCCAGTGGCACTTGTTCCAGTTACGCTGCCTTTGGAGAAACTTTCTCTCACTTTCTGAGGTATCTCGAGACTAGATGTGAGGGAAAATCTCCCCAAAGCAACACGCAGAGAGGAAGAGAAAAAAAAAAACCCTCAGGAGGTTTTGACCATTTCCTGCTCTATCAAAAGACAAGTCAGGTTTTGACTGTGCATATACTAGTGTAAACGTACAGACTGTATTTGCATTTTTTTAAATATCTGGTTTGAAAAAGGAGTTTCATTTTGAGTGAACATAACAAAAGGGATGGAGATATACTCACTTCAATAAGTTCTAGCTGACGATGGTGGTTGGTGCGTGTCCCGTGCAGCAGAGAGCGAGCCTCATCCAACTGTGCTTTTAGCTGTAACAACTCGTTATACAGGACAGAGAACTGTGACTGCAAGCAGCGGTATTCTGGAGATAGCCGCACATTCTCCTCTACAGCTCTTGACAGTTGCTCCTGGACAGCAAGGAGAAAAAAAAAAAAAAATCTGTTACTGATGAAAGTACTGGACTTGCAATACAGTAAGCTCCTAAAGCCCCAACCACATGAACCAAACACTTTATTCACATCAGCTTAGCTGCACTGCTCCTCAGTCACTCCCAGTTGTGCCTAACTAGACTGCTTAGCACAAGCAGAGAGGAGCAAGCTGTTGCTTTAGCTTAGTGTCAAACTCCCTGGTGGCAGGGCATATACCACCGGAGGTCTGCTGTGTTCTCCAATTAACATTCAGAGGAAACAGTTACAGAGTGAATGAAACAGAATTGAAGAATTAACCTGCAAGTCCTTGTTCTCAGAAGACACTTCATGTAGGTCCTGCTTGAGCTTCTCCAGTTCCTGAAGTCGATTCACAGCAAGTTCTTTATTCATGTCAACTTCAGTGGTCATTTCCTCAAACTGCAGAAAACAAACATAAAACCATAAAGGAAAGCCACACATATTAAAGACTAAATGCAAGAACAAAAAATCCCTGACAGGAACAGGGAGATTCTCAGATTTTACATGCAATGCCAAGTGAAAATGGCAATACACCCTGAACACTGGAAGTTAAAAAGAACTATGAGACCCCTGCTCATCAAAAAAAAAAAAAAAAAGGAAAGGTTACCTATTTTCCTGGCTTAACAGGTCTCCAGTAGCACATCAAACGAGACCCGACAGAGTATAAATCTAAACCTATGACAATGGCAACGCAACTGCCCGGGCTGCGCAAAGCCTTCCGTTAATGGCATTATATGGTTATGATAATAGGCATATGATGTGACCATTCACAAGCCAAGCTACACCCCCAATCTCCATGCCTAACATAACAAGCACCTATCACTTGTCAATAAGCATAGAGCACTGGATGAAGCGGGCTTTGCACCAGCAAGGCGTACCGCCAGTGCCACAGGCTAAGATAACTAATATATTAAAGCTCCATCCTGGACATCTTACACTAGGACTAGTCCACTAAAATCCTAGAAATCCCATGTGCTGCTTGAGTGATTGGTTCACTTCTTTTCCCAGTCTATTTTGAGTTTCAATGTTTCTAAAGGGGTGCGGAGATTGTAATTTAACATCATAACACCGAGATCGCTCTCATGATTATAAAGGCTGGCACTCCAATTCTGAAATCAGTTTGATAAAAAGACTGTGTGGAATTTCTTTAGAATATAAACATGTATGCACCCAAAGTTGTTGTTTATTATGAGGGAAAATTATTATTACATATTATAGGTGCATTAGCTACACTTCAAAATTGAGGCCATAATAAACTAAGCACAGCTACAATGATTCTTGAAGCATATTAACAGTACTCTGATGATGTGTTGCCTTGACAAGCTCTTTAAAAAGGAATACCTAAAGCCCATTTACACCTTTGTAAGTGATTAGCATTTTGTTTAGGGATGTTCAGATACCAAGTACCGTACTCGGTACAAGTACATGTACAGATACTTTTCCAGCTCCAAGACTAGACTAGAGTAAAAATCAAAAAAGTTAGGAGGCATCTGTCATTTGTAAGGAGCATACGGAGCTCCTGGGATTTGTGCATCCCTGTTTTATTGTATGATTTTTTAAATATATATATATATATAAGGGATGCACCGATACCATTTTTCAAGTACAGATACTTGTCCGATTACTCACAGATACAAGTACTGATACTTTTTTGTTTATTGTCATGTGACAGTTTTTCTAAAACAATACAGACTAATGATTTCATGACAGTGGTGGAGCGCCATAGTCAGGTCCAAGCTGCAACGGCTGCAACCCTGGTAGTTTTTGTGAAAATGCCAAGTATCGGCACTGGTATCCCTAACTTTGTTGTGGTAATGTAGAGGTGCGGTAATGTGTGTGTATTTTCATGATTCATATTGCTGGGGTTTTTTTTAAATTGTATGGGCTTTTTAGTAGTCCCGAGTCCTACAAATTCATAATTCCTTCCACAGGAAACTCAGCCTGACACCAGGGTTGGATTGTAAAGCAGACTGTAAAGCAGTTGACCCCCTCCCCAAGAGTCATTGTAACAAGATCTCTGCACACCAGCTCTGCCTTTCCAGGTCACAACACTGTCCAGAAGGGGTTTCCACCATGAATACTGGTGAATGGGGGGGGTGGGTTTGAAGCTCAGAGAGAGAGAGTGTTAATTTACACAGACTACTTGCAAAGCACAGAGGCCGCCATTTCAAATTAAGCCATGATTAGATGAAGAGGACAACAACAAAAAAGAAAAAAAAGGAAGTCTCTATGTTTTGCATATATACAGGGCTTGAAAAATTTGGCGGTGTTCGGCCAGGAAGCTGCTCGTCGGGCTCCACCGTCCACTCGTCACAGACGAGTGGACGAGTGGATTTTTCGAGCCCTGCATATATATATATACGTTGCTGACATGTGTTTTGTTTTTTTAAATACCTCCACAAAAAGGTGACAATGGGCTTTAAAAGAGAACTATGGCCCAACCTTTTTTCGCCATAGCTCTCTTCAGGGTCACAGAAGGACATTTTCTAATGTCCTCCTGTTACCCAAAACTCAGCATATAGTGGGCTTTTGCCCACTACAGTGGTACCTCAGTTAACAAATGCTTCTGTTTGCGAACAATTCGGTTTGTGGACAGGAAGTTCAGCAAAGTCTTTCTTCCGTTCACGAACTCCGCATCGGGTGACAAACTCAACCGCAGCCATCTTCCCTGCTCCGACACTGGTCGTGGCTACCTCTGGTCGAGATCGTGGTCTGATCAGTCTGATTTGGTTTGCGACCAATTCGGTTCGCGACCAGAATCGTGGAACAAGAGTAAGAGAACTGAGGTACCAATGTATATGCTGACAGCGCAGAGCCGCGCTGCGGCCAGGAATGATCCCGACAATATTGTCAGGATCCACCCTGCTGCCCGATTGGCTCTAGAGAGGCAGAGCCAGTTGTGCCCGCCCCCTCCTCTAGTCAGCACTGGAGGAACAGAGAGGGGAGGGGGGGAAATCCCTGCAGGCAGCAGGGACTGAGTCTCCATTCTCTGCAGGGAGAAGGTTGGGAAATGAGCGATAAGAAGTATGCGATGACTCAGTTCTTGATCAATAGAGCCGACCTGTGACGGCTTCAGTGACATGTTGGCTCGAATTATCCAGACATTGGAGGGAAATTTCTTTTTGGTGAACTGGAGCAGGACAGAGGGATGGAAGAACAATGTCCTGGTTGAGGTGAAAGTCAGAAACTACCATTAGCAAGAAGGAAGTCCTGGGCATTAACACCGGCTTGTTTATATGCAAAACCAGAAAAAGTTAATTTCAGGATATGACTGCCAGTTCATACACTCGCTTTGCAGAGGGGATGGCTGCAAGAAATACCACTGTGTGAGTGAGAAGCAATGGCTATAATGGGTTCAAATAGTTTCGGAAGTGCAGAAAGAGCTAGATTCAGATCCCACAGTCACAGTAAAACAGATGAGGGAAGCTATATTGAGAACCCTGTACAAAGGTCTTAATCTGAGAGTGAGAAGCCAATGGTCTTTAAAAGAGAATATAAAACATAGAATCGAAAACGGATCCTTTATAGTGCCGAGAGCCAGATGCTGGTCCAGACCCAGCTAAAAGTGAATTTGTCCAATGCACAAAGTCCTGGGGAGAAGCCTTGTGAAGTATGCCTACCATATGCAATGCGTAACCTTCTAAAGGCCAGCGACCGTGGAGCAGAAGATCCTGATGATTCGGTACAGTTCATGGAACACCTACTAAGAGCCCTACCAAATCTGGCATGAATCTGTCCAGTATGCTCTTGAAATTGGAGGCCAGGAGGTCCACATCTGGCACAC